CTGCGCGAGTCATCTGCGGATTGTCGTCTGTGTATTCGGATTGCAGCAATCAGAAGAGGTCTGCAGACGCTCTATTTATAAAGAATACACACGCGCACTGGACTTTAAAAGCCTCTCACGATTTAAATGCCTCCATTCATCTACATTTCTTTGAAGTATTATTGATAAAATTTGCAGTATCAATTTTCTGTAGCCAGATCAGGCCAATGTCTTTATTCTTGTAGCCAACACAACATTGGTTTATTCACCAATAGACGCATTTGACCCTATTATAAACGAACAGGTCTGGGACACTCGAAATCTACGTGACTGAGTCATCAGCTAGGCGACTCTTGATCTTTAAGTCCTCTATTCCAAACACTATTCATTCATACAAACAATCGTTCGGCGTTTTGTTAGCAATGTATTTTCTACGTCGCGGCTATTGACTGAGGTGGCTCTGTTTTCGTTGGCGGAGTATCGATTTTGTTTAAACAAGTCGTGACGATAAGCAGAACCAAGAGGACACTATGACGTCGCCTAAACGTGGGACAAAGGGCCCTGAGAAAAGAGAGTGGCCTCACTTCTTCAGGAACGTCGATGACGATCAGGCGCATTGACAGAGTTTTATATCTTTGATTAGTTATCGTTAATAAAGACAATAGTAAAGAATAAGAAACTTAGTTCGTTACAATTTTCACAATATTTATACACATTACACATACATTCAGTTTTTTTTAAATTCACAAGAGTAGTAGAGAGAGTGATGAGTAATAGAGAGAGAGAGAGAGAGAGAGAGAGTTCCAGCCGGGTTTACAGGAAAAGAACTTGGACGTGGCTCCCGAATTTGTGGAGGTATATCACGGTTGGCCCGAATTTTCGGTGTTATCGAACCAGTTCCACGTTTCTCCTGGTCCTTCCTCTCTGGCCCCTTAACCCCTTCGTCCTCGTTTCTCTTCGTTCTGTGGTCCCGGAGAACTCTACTTTTGTGATGGTGCCCTGCCGCTCGCGTTGTCCAGCGCGTTGCCGAAATTTTCAGATGATTGATGGCTATTGATGCGCGGGCCAACCCCCACCGTCGCGGGCGGATCATAGTTTTCGCGATGCGAGTGGAGCTAATTCTCCATTCGTTTACAAATTATATTCAGCATTTGTACGTGTGCCTTAGGGTGCACGTGTGCGAAGGGCCAGGGATGAATCTAAGCGGCCTAGGTGCCACGAGACAGTTGTAAAATTTTCATCGCTCGACTCTTGTTTGCATGAATTACAATAAAAAAAAAAAAAAATGGATATATTATTTGAAATGTTACCTTATCGAATTACTCGGCAAGCCACGCGATAAAAAAGCTATACAAAGTCACTGATATCGTTAACCTTATCGAATTACAATTCGAACGTATCGATAACAATTAGATAAGGATTGTTGATATGCATTTATGACGTGTGCTGATATAGAAATCTGTGCACAATACACAATGTATACATAATGACTTTCACGAGTGAATATGATGATGTTGAAATATATAATGAGTCGAATGTAGGTTGCACGAGCGAGGATGTAGCGTAGCGAGTAGAGCTACACGTATTTAATTCTGTAAATATGGAGATCGAGAAAATTCATTGAAGTAGACGTTTACATCTCCCGAACTTGATTTCCGTCGCCAGAAATCATCACGTGTTCGATGTTCTGTTTCCTCACTCTGAAATATCCACCTTGAGTAAGCCAATATTGGTTCTCCATGGTCTCCTTGGTAGCAAGAGGTAATATCCGATGTACACGGTAGACGATCGCGTGCGGTGCAACATTTTCACCGAACTGCAGCTGACGACGATAAAGGGAAAGGGAAAGGGAAAGGGGGTGGCCGCGAGGAGAGGGGTAGAACCCAGCGTCTATGAAAAGGTCAAAGGTTCCAGGTGTGTTTGCGTTTCGTGTACTGGTGTTACAGGTGCAGCCTCTTCCGCAGCTCTGCTCGCCGTTGCATCAGCAACATGTGTGTCCTTTATTAACAACAATTAACATTTATCCATTGTTTAAACGCCGGTACATTCAATCAGCCTTCTTACATATTAATTCGATTACATATTAAATAGAGATCGAAGGGTAGGCCAGATAGTGATTCGCGGAAATTCTTGGGCGGCGTAGGCCTGAATCTTTTAAATTGTTTAACATTTATTTATAGCCAAGCGCTTGCTGCAAAATTGGGACACTGTGTTGTAAAGCTCTGGCCAGCGTCTGTTACCGATATCAATAATAAATTAATAAATGAATATGCGATATTTAATTTATTTGTGTCGTTATGTGGCCAAGTAATTTAAGATGAGGCCTACGCGTGATTTTCGTTAGGTATTAAAACATATTTGTTCATAGATATAGTAGTGCATTGTTTATTAAATAATGTAAACTTTATTATTAACACTGATGTAGTATAAATATAATAAATAGTTTAACAGTAATATTGTTTAATTTATGGTTATATAACTGAAATATTTGGAGGAGGAATCTTCACTTGTGAAATAATAACGTGTATCAATTAATTGTTTAGTTTTATATGTAGCTTAATATTTACGCCATTTCAACATTTTGACAATACGTTACAGTCTTTAGTTTGTTACAGTTTTCGACATCGTAAGAAATTAAACTTAATCGTAATCACACGTGAACAGTTGAATCATTTCTTTGAAGCGTTAGGCTGTAGATGCACCAAGCATCTTTCAGTTTTAACATTTTGCAGGAAAATTTCATGTAAAAGATCGGTTGATAACGTTTTTAAGTAATAGGAGAGTATCGTCAAAAATTGGTGTTCTTTTTTAAGTTAAACGCCACGTGTAATACACTATGGAAAACGGACCCGACATCTGATAATTAGTAACATAATATTCAAAGTATAAGAATGATTTTTATTTACATTATATAATGCTTTTTATTTATATGTCGAAAGCCTATCAACCGAGTTCTGATCACATTTTTCGGTGAGCTATACAAAACTTATGATAACAATTTTTATATATGCTGTCACAATATCAGAAGTTTTTAATTAAAACATTCTTATATTCGTAAGAATGATTAGGAGTTAGGTGCTGTTATCCATTTTTGTCTAACAATGAAGAACGTCACGAAGTTAGTATTGTACAGTCTACAGCTTTGTCGTTGTATAATTAAATATTTTATTGTTATTTTATTGTTAACTTTCAAATGTTTTAGCGAACTACCTTCTTCAGGAAGTTTCAAGTATGGTGCCTGACCATTTGAGATCCAAAGAATTGGATTCGAAAATTTACTAATTTCTTTAACTGCTGATAATTACTTGGTTACACCCGGCACTGAAATTTATTCTAATTTTTCTCTAAATATATTTTTAATCAAAATTTGCTCAACGATATGGTACACAATAACAGAGTATACAGTATCAAGAAATTAGTCTTAACGTACTTGTTCTTAATACTTACTATATTCTATAGTTAAAAAATGAATAAAGTAGTCTTACTTACTTTACTATTCTATACTTTATTATTCAAGACTCTAGGTAAAAGAGAATATATTGTCTTGTATTAAAGCTCGTTTATAACTTTATGGAAGGTTACATTCCGTTGAAATTAGCGCGGATTCTGTTTTAGGCATTTCTGGTTTCTTTTACGCGTGAGCGATTGGAGGTCGTTCGACCAGCTCGAGGTTCCTGCTTCCCTAATCCAAAGATTTACCAGTCTCCGGTTATGTTTGATGCACCATTATGGTACCGATTACGGTAGGTTAGTTGCATCGATAACGTCACGTTTGTCGTCGACACGTCACGAAACTCGCCGCTACGTCACCGCTGGTGTACTTGGCGCGCTATACTGTCGTCACGAGGTATCGTTACGTCACTTGATTATACTACTATCGCGGTCGATCACGCAGATCGTCTCAAGTGTTGCTAAAGAACCACTTGGTTTCTCAAGTGATATGAATACTCGCTGAATTCTTTCGAGATTTAGCATTCGTAACACTTTGCGGTCTTATGTCGAGTGGTGCTCGATGAAAATGTACTGGAATTAAAAAATCTAGGTCATACATAGTCGAAGATATTTGTGGCTACTTGTATTTTAAAATAAACAGTTGAAATAATTAAAAAATGATCGATAATAAATATTAATAATATGTAAGAAACATACATTTTGTTTACACGCATAATAGCGAGTAAATATAAGATTTATTTTCTTGAGACACCTTTGCCTAAGAATTGCTATTTTCATAAATACATATGTATTTTTCTTTTTTAATGATTTTTGTAAATTTTATATTCTCCCTAATAATGTTTCCTATAAAGGACGAAATATGAAAACGATTATATTTTAGAATGCTTTGAATTACTTATCTTCATAAATAATAATTTATCAGGAAATTATCACAGTGTTTTAGTTGCTGTAACTGAATTTGGATGCAATGGAAATGAATAAATTCCGATGAGTGTTTCATAAATTATTATTTAAAAAAATAATACAGAGCTTATTAACGTTATATGTAAACTATTGTTCAATTAGAAATGTTTATTCGGTCTTTAAAATCGATCTTATTCTGATACAATTCTTGAGATAATGGAGTAGTTACAGTTTCGTGGCTAATAAAACTCAAGATGTAGTCTATATTTGGGGAACACTTGAGAACACGATCCTATTTTTTTCAGAAATTGAACTCGAATCATAATTTAGGATATATCAAACTTTGGTGTAAACAATATACGATCGATGAACGTGTTTATCTCAGGGACTCTGTATCAAGCGTATCGTGCGCGGATAGAACTGGTCGGTAAAAGATAACGAAGCTGGTAATGTCGGAATCAAGGATACTTTTGTAACAGAATAACAGGAGTGATAGCAATTCGTCTCGATACGAGCCATGCGGATATAATTATCGTTGACGTGTCAAAGTCAATGTATGAGTAACAACACGCGGATTACACTTTTTATAGGCAAAGCTCTCTTGCAACATACTGTCTGCGATTTCTCGGTTCCCTGTTAAATTTGAAAAGTGTTCCGATAGTTTCATCTAGATACAACTTTCGACTACCATGTAAACAAGAAATCCAGATGTAGAAATGTCTTTAGTGAATCTTAAAAATTGAGTTATTAAATGATTTGTTTAAAATATTTTTTTTATCTTTCAACCAGTTTACAGGTGATATTTGAGTCGGTTCTATGGTAGAGTAACGGCACCAATTTATAAATTACATTGGATTTATTACAAGAAGACTATAACACAACTAAATATTTACTATTATCTCTGTATATATAATAGATACAAATGTTATTAGGAAATAGTATGATAAATATAAAGTACAAATGCAAATTTATAAATAAAACTGAAAATGGTAAATACAAAATTAGGTACAAAGTACAGAGTATTAAAAATGTAACGTACAAATTTGTGTATAACAATAAGTGGTAATAATAAACTATAAAATATAATTTCTGTTATACCTAAAGACTTATATGAAGGAAGCTTTATCTGGGATGAAATACACGAACGAAAGAACCGTCTTAAATTTTATACATATGTATTTACAAGATAATTATAAATGTCGTAACATTAGGAAACAGTCATAATGAAAAATTGGTCGCTGTATCGTATCGATGAATAATGATTCTTCTTTCGAACGGCGGAAATGGTAACATTATTTAAAGTCATAAATGATACAAACAGTATTTACTTATATGAGAGTTTGTACAGACTTCTTAGTATTGTTTAACGGAAAAAGAAAATTAATTTGGTAACTAATCCACTATTGTATAAAAGTACTTAAAAATGAATTCAGATTCATGCAGAAATAAATGTGTAGTAGCTCGTCACAATTGTACACTATTTTAAGTTTTCAACACATTCCAGGATTAATTTAGGCATTAGAAAAGTAGTATAATGATCTAAACCCGTTCTATCAAAATTAATATATTTTTATTCTATTATAAAATAACTTTAAATAGCAAACGTTGATTTCATCTATCGTTATTTTCTAACTTTTGCTCTTACTACTCCTAAATACAAAGACATAGTTGTATGTAAAACAAATGTGCATCACCCTCGGTAGTTTTAGTGTCGAAAGGTTCCATTATAAACATTCTCCACCAAAATTCGTTCTCAATAATAACCTGTCCTACAAACACGTTCTGTCAACCGGCACAGAAGGATTTCTATCGAAAAACTAACAGAAAAGTTTCTTCGTATTTAAGATGGAGGAGTGGTGCTGTCGGCGCGGAGTTGCGAAGGCGCAGCTTCGCTGTAGGCTATATCGAAGACACTCTTCTTCTCCAAAAGTTGCTGGTGTCTTAACCTGTTACCACCTTGCAGAGGTATCGCTATCCCAGAGTCGAAGTTCTCATCGACGTGGCCGTGTTCAGTCGTTGATTCAACGTCAAAGTGTTGCGGCGACAACTGCGGCGACGGATGAGGAGCCGGCGGGGGATGAAGATAGAACGGCGCAGGCATTTTCTCATACTTGTACTCGGAGTGTTGCACCAGATGGTGTTTCGTGTCCGTTGCAGTTAAGGTAGGTGGTGTCGTTGCGAATATCTGTATCTGTGGATCCTCGTTTTTCCCGCCCTCGGCTTTTCTCAGTCTTCTCCCCTGGCGAACGATAGCTTTCAGTTGTTCAGACTCGACGTTCACCAATGGCTTGACTTTCCGTCTAGTTTGCGGAGTCGTATTCGCACTCCCGTGCTCCGGGGTCTTCTTATCATCCTTATCAGATTTTTGGCTTCTCATGCTCCTCTTCAGCCACCGAGGAAGCTGACTTTCGTCGTCTACAGCCTTCAGTCCAGCCCTTTTCTTCTCCATTTCTTCGCGGTTCTTCTTGTACCAAGCCATATACTTCGGCTGCGCTTTGCTCGTGTCGATGTCACCTGTTTTTGAAGGACTCGTTTTCTGATCACCCTTTCTACCTTTTTCAGACTTCGTTCTCGACGTAGACGGAATTCGTTGATGCTCCTCTGCATTCCTTGGTTGTTTAACGTGATTGATATCTGCTTGCTTCGGTCGATCGGTGACTAACCTTCTGCGAGGCTCCTGCTTCGAATGACGTTCTTGATCCTGAAAACGAGCTGCTCTTTCTTCCGACGATTCTTCGGAGGAACTTTTCTTCTTCCTTTGCCAAGGAATCCTCTTCTTGTCTGGTGCTTTCGTCTTTCTTTCAGTAGGTTTCGTAACACCCGTTTTCTCGTGCTTGCGAACTGCCGATTTGTCATCGTCGCGAGGTTGATCGAGTTCTTTCGTGTGAGATTGTAACCTCGTTTTTCGTTTCGCGCTGGGTGTGGACTCCTCGCCGCGTTCTGAACCCGACTTTGGTTTTGATTGTTTTTCTTTTTGCGTGCGTTGGTCAGTGACATTGGACGACGTTTCTTCTTGCATAGATGGCATTTGTATGTTTCGAGGTATTTCATTTTCTTTATCGAATTCTGTATCTTTGTCTTTTACTATAGTTGGGGAGGGTTGTTCAGTACTACTATGTTCAGCTTCTTGAAACGTTTCGTCGTCTTCGTCCTTCATTACCTTGATTGTTAACGACGTGTCGTCTTCGTCATCGAAATTCTGAGTATCGATGTTGTCTATCGTTTCAATATTTCCTTTCTCGGGAGATTGTCGATTACGGTGTCTTGGCGTTTGGTAAGGTTTGGTGGTCAATGTCGTCTTCCTGGAAATATCACTCGATGAGTCACTATCGCTCAAATCGTCCACCGATTGTATTATGTTTGTAAAAAGTGGAAGGCTTACGTCTGCATAGTCTTCTTCGACATTTCCATCTCCCTCTTCTTCCTTCGCCATATTTTCCTCCGAAGGCAATTCATCAGTTTTCTCCTTGATTATATCCCGCCTTCCTCCTTCGTCTTGAGAAATCGTAAATTCATCTCGTTCTTCTCTCGATTGTTTCTCCGGAAACGACTGAACTGTTTCTTTCTCCCCGGAAGTTTGTTCCTCGACAAATTTCTCTCCTTCTTGTAATTTAGTTTCCTCGCTCTCTGACTTCGACTGCTTTTCAGATTCGGGTATTTTCCTAGAGTCTGTTGGAGTTTCTGATATAATGAAATCTAATGCAAACTTTTCTTTCTCGGACGTCGGTGGAGGAGTTTCAAACATTTCTGTTCCGTGAGAACTGCTGCTCACTTTACTCGATGGTTCGTACAACTCGTCTTCCTTTCCACCAGTTTCTAATAGTTTCCTATCTACAATAGTACCTCCTTCGCGTGTCGTTTCCTGTAAAACTTCTCCCTTATCGTGCAATGCATCACGATGATCCTGTATTTTTTCAAGTGTTGGATGCATTGATGGCGTCAGTGTGTCACTGGAAGATTCGTCAGATTCTTTAACTATCGATGCTCGTTGTTTTTCTTCTGATATCTCGTCTTTTCTGCTTTCATGTTCTTTTTCCACTGGTTCAGTAACATCAATCTTTGAATCATCTTGAGCTATTTCCATCGTTGTGATGGTCGTTTGTTTGTCTGGAGACGTTTTAGAGTTGTCTTTTGTTGCTTCTTTCTCTGCACTTTCGACGCTTATTGTGTCTTCCACGTGTTTTAACGATTTATCCATTTTTGGAGCAGAGGGTTCGTTACCATTTGAAATTTCTAATTGATCTTTAGTTTTATCATCTGTTGGTAATGCAGACGCTTCTTCTGGATCAATTTTATTGTCAACCGAATGCAATGGAGCGTGGTCGGTTTTAGCTCCTGTCTCGGTGCCTTCGCTTATTGATCCTTTCTCGCTTGTTGATTTGTCGGTTAGTAAATGAAAGACTTTGGACATCTCTGAAGAAATACCTTGTTTACCATCTTGGTCATCGGGTTCTTGTTTCACCAGAGGTGATTCTGTTTTACTATCGTGATCGATAGAGGTAGAAGCTTCTGGAGAAACGTCGTCTTTCGCAATAAATTGTTTATCGGGAAGATGTGTTTCTGAAGATTCAATTTTGTCTTCAGTTACGTTATCCTTGCTAATATCATGCGTTTCTGAAATCATATCTTGTTCGTAATCACCCCCACTTTCCATTTTTGGGAGATCGTTCTTTTTTTCACTAGAAATACGTAGCTCTTCAGCTATAAAGGTTTCTAAAGTACCGTTCTCTTTTTCACTAATTTCATCATCGACTTTTGGAATTTCTTTAATAGTTTCTGCTTCTTCTTCAGGATGCTTTTCTTCTCTTTTGCCAGGGAATATGTTTTCATGCTCTGTAAGTGAAGTATCGTAATCTATATCTTCTTTTTTAATTGTTCCATTTTCTCCTTCTCGATGTTTACCTCTTTCTTCCTCTGAAAAAACATTTTCTTTCACATCAACTTTATGATCGTCAGTTGTGATCTCTTCTGTAACATTTGTTTCTTCTTGGCCAGAAGTTTTTACTGTGTCTAGAACATTTTTCTCTTTTTCATTAATTTGGTTATCATTCATTGCAGTATCTACCACAACTTTATCTTCTGTAATTGGAAGAATACTTTCTTTGTCACCAGCGCGATGCTCATCGGTTTTAATTCTTATGGTTTCTTCTCCTTCATCTGGAATATTTCGTTCGTCTGTTGAAGCATTTACTTTGTCGCTCATTTCGCCCTGATCGAATTCAGTTACCGTCGAAGTTTTTTTTTCTCCATCCAAAAAAGCAGTTTCTACTTGAATAATTTGATGCTTGCCAGGTGAAATTTTTGCAGTAGCTCGTCCTTTCTTATTTTCGTCGCCATTTTCATTTTCTGGAATTCGAAAATCATCGATTTTAGGATCACTTTCTAGATCACTTTCTTTCTCTGCATCAGTAGTCTCTATGTTTGGAAAATCAGCTTTTTTAATCTGATCGTCACCGATACCAATTTTTGCTATGGCTTTTCCTTTGTCGACAGCTCCTAAACCATGATGTTCTTCTTCACTGTCTTTGTTTATAATTTCTGTAGTTTTATCTTTTTCCTTTTCGGCCGTAACGCCTTCATCTTTAGACTCTGGATATTCCACATGTTTCTTTATCGATTCGTCGTGTTCTTTGTGTTCCTCTGATTCATCCGTTTCATCTTTTTCATTTCTCGACAAATCAGTTTCAAAGTGCTTGTCTACAGATTGTTGAGTTTTCTGTATTAAATCAGTTTTATCATAATTTTGTGTTTCTGCCGATTTCTCTAATTCCAACATCCTTTCTTCTACATCCTTCGTGTCGCTTTTCTCTTCAATATTCTCTTTCGTGTCTGTCATTATTTTAGCATCACCTGGGAGTTCATGTACCTCTGTTTCTTTCGCTAACATTTGATCTATTTCGAGTTTTTCTTCTGTTTTAAGCTCTTTAGATGACATACCTTTTTTTTCAGTATCTCGTAACAGTGTCTCCGATTTCTGTTCCAAATTTTCGCGGGCATTGTCCATTACCTCGTTCTCTTCTTTGTGTTCTTTCGCTACGTTCTCAGTTTCATCTACACGACCCTTATCACTTTTTAAAGCTTCATCTTTTCTCTCGATGCTCTCTGACATATCTTCTACAATTGATATTACATCCTTCGTAACATCAAGCATTATTTTACTTTCTCTTTGATCTACTTCATTTTTGTCGCTCAATTTCATAGCACTTCCATCATCAGTTCCTCGTGTGTCTTCTTCTTTGTATCCCTTTAAGTTTTCTGAAGATCCAATTATTACATCACTTTTGTGTTCATCTATTCCTATTTCGTTATTCAATTTCACATCGCGCGCATTATCAGTTACTTCTTCGTACTCCATTGTTCTCTCTGGACTGGCATTTATTATCGCACTTTTTAGATTATCTTCTCCATTTTCCTCTTTTAATTTCATAATACTTTCACCAACACCCATTCGTCCCTGTTCTTCCTTGCATTTTGTTGATTTCGTTTCAGATGCCATGACTGCTTCCCTCGATTCTCGATCTTCCTCAGCATTATCTAATTTTTCTCGTCTACCATCAAGAACTACGCAACTCTTAATTAATTGCTGCGCAACATCAAATAAACTTTCAGATTTTCCCACCACTCTCTTCGTACCTACCTGTCCTTCAGTTTCTATAGACTTTGTGCCCTTGAATCCATCTTCCGTCGATTGCTCTCGAATGTCAACGCTAGATTTCTTTTCGCAATCTTCATCCTTCATATTCTTCTCATCTCGCTCTTCTGTATACCTTTGTTCCGTACTTCTCATATCCGGTTCCACAACGAAGTCATCGCTGAATCTCCCAGCTACCTTCTCCGCAACAGCTTTTCTGCTTCTGTTCGCGGCATTCGTATTAGTCCCTGAAGAATCCGTGCTGCTCCTTTTCTCAGGAATCGATGACGCAGCTGTGTCTTTTTTACCTTCCACTTGATTGCTCATCGCACCAGAGCTCGTTTCCTCGGTTGTGTTATCTTTGCGAGATACAGCAGCCAATTTCGGAGCTCGCGGTACCATTCTTCCAGCCTTTTCGTGCTTAGATTCAGTTTTCAAGGCCTCCTTCGAAGAACAGTCCTTCCGTTTCTCGACTTCCTCGTTTCGAAACTCTTGTTTCCTGGACTCTCGACAGTCAACGTGTGCCTGACGTTTCGGTTTCGCCATTGGCTGCTTCTGCTTGAGTTCCTGACGAGCTTGTTTCTTCGTCCTGTCGAAAGCGTCGTCATACTCCGAGCTACCCGTGCTCATCACGTGAGACTGTTGGTACTTCAGCTTCTGTTTCGTTTTGGCAATGGCTGCCTCCTTCTTCTGCTTTCCTTTCTGTTCGCCTTTCGATGCACTCGACGTTAATTCTGTCGTCTGCTTTTGAGAAGCGTCGATCTTTTTCGTAGCTTTCTTCGGATCCGATTCCTTCTTAGGTTCCTTCGGTTCCAACTTCTCCTGACTCGTGCTGTCGCTACCAGTGCTCTCTTGGCACTTCTTGTCGCTCAGTTTGCTGAGCTTCTTAGTGAACATCGTGAATTCCTTCTCCAGAATTCGAAAACTCGGTTTCATCACTCCCTCCGACTTCTTCTGTGCCTTCACCTTCGCTTCTTTTTTCGGACTCTTCTCGTCTGTCTTCTCGCGGCTATGTTTCTCGTGCTTGATCCTTATTTCCGGCGAAGAAGTAGACTCGGTTCCATTCATTTTCAGATCGTCGCTCGCATCCTCGCAACACTTATCACCGAAATCTTTCTCGCGTTTCTTCTTGCACAGGTCCATGGAGGAGGACGAGCTGTCCTCTTTTTCATTTAATATCTTGTAACTAACAGTTGTTTGCTCGGACTTCTGATGAACCTGCAACGATTCGTCTTCCTCTCCTTTATAGGAGCTTCCGTTCCCGTTCAGGGAGTCTGAAATCTCTCTGAGCACCTCAGGTTCTAGGGAGGCTTTCCTGTCGTCTTTCACCTCCCTCGCCTTTTTTCGGAGAATGTTCAACCGTTTGTCGAAACAGGGACTGCTCTTCTTTTCGATCGGCGACTTCATCCACAGTGTGCGAGACCTCCTCCAGTCCCCATCGCCGTACTTCTTCCGAGACTTCAACTTTTTCCTCTGTCTGGAGTCTTCGTCCGACTCATTGTCGCTTCTGCTTCTCACATGGTGTTCCGTCTGAGTGGCTGCCGTCCTGTCGGTTTGAGTAGCGATCGCTACCTGTCCAGGGAGACTCTGTGTCTCCAGGTAACTGCTGGAATCCAATATTCCGCCCTCCGCGTGTCGATGGTCTCTTTTCAATAATAATCGTGTCAGCAACGCTTTGTGTCTAGCTAGTTCCACGTCATTGTAGGCGTATTGCGGCTTGTTTCCTAGATCTTTGACGACTGGTGGCCTCTCGACCAGCAGAGTTCCAGCTACGATGTCGTCCTGCCTCTCTGGTCTCAAAGTATCCCCGATTTCTGAGTCCTTCTCCATCTTTGGCGACTGGTAATCGCCGTGATCGATCACGAGCCTCTGTACGTTGGGTCCTATTTCTTCAACGTGCTGCCTGTGACCGAGGTCCAGTCGGTCAGGTACCAGAATTATTTCCGGCGGTTGTTGCTGGAAGATCTCTTTGGAACGTTGATGCGACTCCATGATGCGAGCTGCTTCGATGTCCTGCATCGACAACTCGTGCCTCGATTTTTGGTCCTCTATGAACCTCTGTAGAATTATGTCCTTGCCGTCTACGATCAAGGTTGTAGGGTGGTGGTGGTGATGATGGTGGTGATTCGTCGTTGCGTCTTCCACTTGCCCTCTGGTTACCAGCCTTAGGACTTCGGCGTTTCCTTCGCGGTAAAAGTGTTGCTCTCTTACCATCTCTCCGTTTATGTCGGGTTCGACGTATCTCGGTCCGGATCTAAATCAAATTTGAGGTGATTGACATAAGTAAACTCTTGGTATTATTAAAAATGCATCAGATAACAGCTTACCTACCTTTGCCTGTAACCTTGACGCTGTATATCCGAATCCCTTTCCATTTCGTGTCGATGCAACGACTCCAATTCGTTCATGTCGTAACCTCTTGGCTTTTGGCCTTCGACATCTTCCATATACATTCTATCGTGTTCGTCCATTCTGCTCTTCCTTGAGTGATAGGATGTAGCATCCCTTAATAACCTTGGAGCTTCATGAGTTACTTGGATGTCAATTGGCTGACCAGAAATGTAAGCAACATCCCCGGGAAGCGAGCAATTTTTAACATTTCTTTTATTGAATTGCCAGTTTCTTCTCGTTGGATCGGCACTCCATGCTTGCTTTCGTCCCTTCCACGATGCTGAAATTCGACGTTATGAACCCTTAATGATCACGCAATGTTCGTTAAAACTTTTAGTTGATTACGTGGACGTTGCAAGTTTCTAACAGTGTTCAACATAGACTCGAAGGTAAATAATGTTTAACACTAGATGTGCAGAGCATGGTCATTCTGACCCATTCCGAATTTCGCGAGGAAAGTTACAGGGTTACTAACCTGCGTCCATGTAAAGAGACAAGCATATATCCGAACTTAGATCTTTTGTCTAAGTCTCCTAATTAATTCTAGTAAAAGAGACTTCACTCATGAAAGCATTACTTCGGTAATAGAAGTCTGATGAGAAATCTCCGTAAATCTAGTGTTAAAAATAAATGGAAGCAATGAAAAGTAGAAGAACGGCTTTAATGCTCTTTTGAGTCCGATATCAAATTACGAGCTAATCGATTAAAAATGTTTGGTACCATCAACATCTACTGGTTGTCGATGAAGGTGCCTCTTTGGTCTTCCATCCGCTCGCACGACTAACGTTTCGGAGGAATGCACTCGCCTCTTCCTAGGCGCCATGTAAAACGGACATCCGGGACAGATGCAACAAATAATCAACGCGGCAATGGCCAAAAGCATAAGCAAGCCAAGTATAATCAGAAGCCAAATCAGTAATTTGTTTTCCGCTTTGTACACCGTCTGAAAGGGATTTATAGTTTCTTACATATTCGGTATTAAAATTGTTCTGCAAGTACGGTGCGTGCTTTTGTTTGGTGTCTGTATTCCTAAGTATACATAATTTTTAAAAAGTGTCACAACTCGGGAAATGTGTTATTTTGTTGTTTCATTTTGTATATATTTACGCACAACTTCTTCACTCTGCACGTTGACTATAGTATTGTTAGTGACGGTCGTTTGACCGTCGTTAGTGTGAGGCATTCCATTTACAGGAGCTTTCGTTTCATTGACAGTCATTGTCGTAACTGCGTCCGTGCCACCGATAATACCGACGCCATTAGCAGCTAAAGTCTCCCTGATTTTCTCTACATCTACCAAAGGCGTGCCTGGCTCCGTTTGTTCGACGCGTGCTACAATAATGCTCCTGTAATGGAATGAAATGTTTATGGTTCAAGTCTCATCCCCCTTCAACGTGTTAGGAGAAGTACAAATTAAAAATTATACGAATATTTGATATAGGTAAGACTATTATCGTTTGAAATACCACTTAACGATTATAGTAATTTCCTGTACAATATTAGTGGATCGCTAACCTTTTTCCTCCTGCAGGCAAAGTACTTGTACCCCCGGTATGATTTTGCTGTGTATAAGGACGAGTTTCTAATACGGTAACTCGACCACCAGTAATAGTTGCTAGAGTTTCAGCAGTTTTTGTTGAATTTGGTTGTTCTCCTGGCACCACAAACATCATTATTCGAGCTTCCATGGCGATACCACTCATGACGCGAATTTTTGTTTCACTCGAAAGATGGGGTATGCCTTAAAGTATCGAGATTTATTTTGCAAAACGAATCAAACAATTAGAAAAATTGGTTTGATTGGGTAAGATTGGTTTATCCATATAAATACAAAATAAATGTTCGTATGAAGTATACAACAATTTTTAATATATGTATTAAAATAGTTTAATATTATTTCAGAACGTTTTCGTTATCATTTGTCTTAATTATTTCAAAATTTTACTTGTTTCTATTTACCTAAATCGTATGCCCTGACAGTGAGAGTGTACAATGGGTCTTCATTATTTCGTTTTCGTCGCCTCTGTATCGCTTCATTTATTATCTCTGTAGTTACATTCGACGAAGGTGTTCTACTTCGATTATTCATTAGGGATTTCTCTTCAACTTTTTTTGTAAATACTTGTAACGTATCGTTTGAAATTCTTCCTTGACTTCTAGTGAACTCTTTTCCAGCTTTTTTCACGAATTTATTGTAAGAGCTCTGCTTCTTCCGCCGGATCTTCGTTATCGGCGAACGGAGAATTAATTCGCCGCTAGTTCCGTTTAAATAGAATTTGTTTTCGTAATTGCCATGAATTATCTCGTATCTGACTATGTTGTTCGGCGGCTCTGCGTCGGCATCGATAGCCTGTGAATCGACATTTTAGTCGTTAATTAAAAGTATAGCGATCAACATTCAAAAATAAATATAGGTTAAAATCTTATGTAGATTTATATATCCCTTCGAATACTTTTTAATAACTGAAAGTTGGATACAGAGCAATGAAATTAGTTACTTTATAGTTGCAAAATAGAAATAAAAGACATAGACGATATCTTACAAAGAAAATTACTTCATAAGGCTGTGAATGTACCTTTATAAAAACTGGTGACGTGAAATTCGTTAAATCAGGATTTAACATAAATTCGTAAACGTCCTTGTCAAATAGGGGTGGATTATCATTGACGTCCAACAGGTTAACCATCAAAGGGACAACACCTGTGTTACCATTGCCATTCTCATCTCGAGCTTCTATGGTTAGTACGAGCCTTGCAGCCACTTCACGGTCTAAGGTATATCCTATGGCTACAGTTATTAATCCCGTATCAGGATCTATTGTGAATGCTTTGCTTCCTTCACCCGTTATACCGGTATATCGAATGTTTCCGTAAGCTCCCGTATCTATATCGGTCGCGTGTACCTGTTAGAAATGATGATAATAAGCTAGGACTCTTTATCGCTTAAAATTAAAAAACAATGTTGCATTTCTATAACTCTCAATTGGTTTAGAAGGAGGCTATTACTAAGTTGTGTGGTTTCATTCGAGTGAACAATTCCGTTTGAAGTATTCGTGTTTCTCTAATCATTCTGAAATTGAAATGCATTTTTTACCTGAACGACACGAGCTCCCGCGGTGACATTTTCGGACAATGTCACTTCGTATGTTTTTTCGTCGAATACTGGTGGGTTATCGTTAACGTCTCTTAAAACTATAATCACTGGCACTGTCGCTGAGAGATTTGTCGCTGGACCGACTTCTTGAGCAACGATCTAGACACGTTGAAATAAAAAATAATTAAATATAACGAATTATAGATCGGTTTGAAAAATGTGTATGCAGTAGCCCATTCTGTTCGAAGTGGACAACAGTACTACAGACATCACATGATTTTATACTGTCGTGTTTACCTTAAACGATAAAGTTTTGTGTAATTCATAATCAATGAGCGTGTTGTCTCGGACGATAATTACGAAGTCTGCAGTTCGTTCTGCAACCGTTGGGTTTATTTCGAAGGTGCCATTATTATTTTCCAACTTTAACGCAAATACCCCCGCTTTTCCAATATCTTCGTCCTTCACTTTGGTCGAGTATTGCTCGCCAAAGTTGATCACGGTGCCTGGTTCCAAATTCTCATTGACCGTAGCAAGGTAACTGCAACGACAGAATATCATTTCAAATTTATTTAGAAGTAGTAATAATAAAAGTATGAAAATAGTTATTATAGATCTTTTATTACAAATCAATTAATTCACAATTCTGTAAATATTATATTTTTACTGTGTAACGTTATAATATCTTTTTCTATTTCTGTCACACAAGGATTTCCATTTTTACTTTTATAAATTTCAATGAAGATATCATTTTTATTTGCACCTTTACTTTGAAGATATTGTGAGAACTTTTATTACAAAAATATCTGGTTCCAAGTGTTTAATCTGGAGAATGTTGAAATCATTCGTTTCGATACAAAATTCATTCGAATAGGAAATTGTGTCTCAGGTACCAACTTATCGCTTTCGAAATAGGGTGGAGTGTTGCCTGGTTCCCCGAGGAGGAAGCCAACGTCGACGATCGTAGCCTGCGCCGGAGGCTCGTCTCTGCTTCTTCGTATCTCTTCAGCAACCACTGTAAGCACCACCGGTGCACCGACGTGTGTAATTTGCGTCAATTCCTCCAAAGGTCTAGCAAGAACGATTTCACCTGGCAATCAAACAGGAACTTCCAGAATTTCTAATCCTTACTTATCAGTTTTTATTAATCAGAAGAATTTATTTTCTTTTTAATAATATTCCTCTATTTCCGTAATATTATTCTATTAATAATATTCATTTTAATTTTCTTTCATTCTATATTCACTATTCCCCGGTATCAAATTATTTTTATTATGAATAAAACATTTCGGTCAACGCTCTCTCTCTTCGTGCAGACATACTAACCACGCATGTCCGGTGGTGGAAATTTTGCATAGTACATCACGAAATGAAACTCGACATACAGATTGCTTCTATTAGCGTATCCTTGTTATGTACCCAATGAAATTTTGCATTATATAACATTTACTTCGCTTAATACTCATTTCTTAGCTTTGCTGTAATTCAAATAATTATCGAGCCTTAGAAAATAACGGTGTTTCGAATGAAAAGCCGTTTGTCCTAAATGGCGAATACTAATTTCTCAATAAATGTAAATTCTGTAGCCGCGATTAAAAAGTTAAAGTTGTCCTTATCGCACTCTTCGCCGTGTTATCGCTCAAAGTTATCGCCGACTGTTAATATTCCTCGACGATAATACGGCCAAAAGTAGACGCGTTTATCTCCTTTATTCCTTCTGGCCCTGCTCGTTCCTTTTTACCGTTTCTCCACGGTGGCTACATTTGCACATACACACACCTGCGAGGAGGTCGCATGCTTCACGTCACGAAATGATAAGCATCGCAGCCTGAAAAGCAGATACTGACCCCTAAGGACGATCGATACTCCGCCGTAGACCGTCAAGACCTCACTCTGACCACTTCTATTCTGGCCACTTCCTCGGCTGACTCATTTTCGGTTCCGCGAAAAAAATCGGTATCACCGATCTGAGACGCCGGATAACACGCCGGAGCCGTAATTGCACGCAAACAAGCGCGTAACGGTTGACCCCCTTCGTGGTTCACGGACCCTTACGTAAACTTTTATTTTTCCAAGAACATGAAATCCTGATTTTAGGAAACGCGAAGCGATAAAGACGGATATTTTATCGGTATCAAATATAACGTCAGCCTTGAAAGAATTTTTTTTGACCGTAGAAAACATTAAATAAAATACAGTAACGTCTTGAATGATGTGCGTTAATTGCACGGATGAAGGAAAATAATAAAAGGAAGCAAATATTCATCCGAAGATCACTAAATATGTAATCTCAAACTTTCGTGAATATTTATTTAATCAATGAATATTAAATGGAATGCTCTATGAATATCAAATTTCATTTGATATTATCGTGGATCAATAATATTTTGAATGTTTCTATATTTCAACCGTTTCTGGAATGGTTAATAGATCCAACCATAACGTGGTTCGCATGTAAAAATGGTTTCAGTTACGTCGCGTCAGATTGAAGTGGCAAAGGTAATTATCTTTTATGTATCGATTTGGTACGTGACAAGAAAACATGAATCATTCCATGGCGTTTCACTGCTAGAAGCGGAGATTAAAGAAGCAGTAAATTAATTTAAAAGGTTAGCGGTCTACTTGATCATTCTTGGAGAACCAGATTGTACATTGACGTGTATAAGTGTGTATGGTTGTGTACCTTCAGCTAATTTATTTACTCACGCCAACGCTGTGAGCTATAATTATTCTGCCTGTAATACATTGGCACATCCAATGTGGCGACAGTAGTGTTTAGGTTTATTATTGTTCCATGAAGAATGTAAAATCGCGTAGATCGTAGATAAATGCAGACTGAACTCTTAACGTTTCGAATGTATGTGTTTAATAGTTATCGATAGAAAAAATTTAGTTAATTAATTAAAGTAATTATCATTATTCATTAATGACAGTATATAATATTCCACGACATTTTTAAACACATTTACTTGGCTCCTAATACTTCTGCCTAAAGTACAACCATACCTTTATCGATGTAGTACTTTTAGAACACATTTTACCGAGCACAATAATCACTATTAATCAAAATATTTCGAAAAATTATTTTCAATTCACCGTGATAAAGAGTGTTAGCGACCTTTATTGATTGCAGTATTCCGTGTAACACAAGTTTATGTAGGAACTAATTGCAACCTTTCGTGTAAAACCATATGCACTAGGAAAGTATAAACTATAAAAAGCAATGCGTGATTAATAAGCATTACTACAATTCTCTGCGGCATAAGCAACAAAACCTCATGAATATTATTTCAATAAATGTTTCAATTCATGACTACTATTAAAATTTATTTAATATAATTCTAAATCATATTAATAAAATAAATATTTAGCATAATTCCTTACCACTTGTCTCCGAAACATTAAAAAATGGGGTGAAAGGATTGCCCTCGGATACGAGGCCGTACACGATTTCTCGTGGAACCCCCTTATCCCCGTCTTCTGCATGAACTCGTAAAACTATATCGCCCTAAGATTAATACATGAACAGTCTGTATCTTAAATAAAATTAACACCTTGGAGATCGAAACAGGTAATGCTCAGACAAAATACACTTACTGGCTGTACAGAATTATTAATTCTAGTGAGGGGTGGTGCTAACGTAAAAATCGGTGGGACATCTTGAACGTCCTGAACTATCACCACCAGGTTCAAGCCTGCAATATTTCTAGTATCTTTTCCAGGCTCGGTGTACGGATCCTAGCAAACGAAGTATTCGATTTGAAGACGTTTTAAATATTATGTGAAACTAAGTTTAATATTAAATTAAATCGAATAGTAAGCTCTTTGTAACGACTATCGTTTAAAAGCAATCGTCTAAATATTTCGTACCGTAGCGTACATGGTGAGCGTGTACACAGATTGTGTCTCGAAATCTAATTCTCCTATCAAAGTAATTACTCCACGTGTCTGAGTGGGCGTTTGTCGCTGCCTTATAGTGAACAGTTCCTTCGGTTGCTGAAACAATGGTATCCAGTTGCTATAACTATTTTCAAATAGATAAATAAAAATCACTATACATGTAAAACGCACCCAGAGTTCGATGTAAACTGGTTTTCCACTCCACGAATTGGCTCTTACTAGAAGATAATCCAATTCCTTTCCTGGCTTGGTATCCTAAATAAGTAAGCAATCGACCAATTCATCTTACCTAATTAAAAAGGTGAATATTGTAAAGAGTTTCGTTTATTTGAACGATAAATGCAATCTGTCGTATGACAGATTAGTTTCACCACCCCGCACCATATTGTATTTCACCTGGTAGGGGTAGATCCGTTTCTCGCGACGAACGTGATAAAATTGCTGATGATTCGAATGGACGTGCTAATCGATTTAATTTGGCTAATAAATAATTACCTCAGGTACCATTATGAGGGATGGTATGTGCGGGAATATTTTATCGCGCGGAGTCGTGGCGTTTGTAACAGAAATAGTAGCTTGCATCGAGTTCGAATCACCCTTCGTGTCCCTAACCCTCACAGCAAAATCGTGAAGACGGCCGGCGACTAGTCGTTTCGTTAGAATCACATTAGCCTGACACACTTTGTTGTACAACGTGCACGGCAGATTGTCGATCCTTACAACAGGTGTGATTGTAGCTAAACAAACAAAAATAAAAATACCTGTATTTAATTCAACGTTAAACAAGTAGACACTTCTACAATTAAATTTTAATTTGTTGGCATTGATATTTGCACAAGTAAGAAAATTTTGTTTTTTGATAATAAAATACGTCTATCAGCATTGTCATGGTGGAAATTTAATTATAATCCTGTGTGCTTTCATTTAAAACTAAAAATGGATATATTCTAATACCATTTAAAATATATTTAAACTAATATCGACTATTCAGAAAACCAATTATTAATAAACTGCGTATTCTATGTATTTATGTGATATACAAATATGAAAAACATGAGCTAAACATATACAGAACGTATACACTTCTGAGAAATTAAATCATATCCTTATTAAATTATTTTATACACATTTAATTTACGTTTTGATATCACTATATTTCACAAATATATAAAATCCTCAGTCTGATTATAAACAAAAGATTACCAGTTATTTCAAAAACAAGTGGAAAATCTGCATCCTGATCAGTCGCACGAAGACGAAAAATGACTGAATCTACTTCCGCATCCGAAGGGACCAGAACTAAACCCATGTCAGTGGAAGTATCAAAACGTGGACGAGCCCCCTTCGTCCATGCAAAAACGAATCCGAAATAAATCCATATTTTGCACCATGCTCCTGAAAAGGGCATTCTGGAAAGAGAATATTATTTGCTCCAGTGTTTTGTTCCACTCGATTACAATAATAAATTTATCTGCAGACGATGTGGAAAAGTAAAGTCCATACGGGAAGAGAAACTAATATTTAATATGTTTACTCAATCGCTGAGAAAATTTAGTAATAATTTATTTCGTAATCGATAATCGTCCAATGTTACCGGTTACGTCGCGTTGATGATAAAATCGATACCTCGTTATACGGGCTCCCCTGTTTCTTTTCTAAATATTACAGGGATAATCGAATGAGTTCAAACCTTCTCAACTGACTTACAACCACTCCACTTATCGAGCCAGTAATTATTTAGGAAGATCGGTAGTCATTCCTCTAGACCGCGTGATAGGGCGTACATCCATCCCTTCTGTGGATGGTAAACTTAATTTACTCACGATTGATTCTACAGTACATAGTTTCTCTAGATGTACTTTGTTTAATACTTTCTTGGTCTCCTTAAAAATAATTTCAGAAATATCTTCCTAAACTATTTCCTCGTTTTAGGCATTTAAAATTTAGTTTACCACACATTTAGGTGGTTCAATGATATAGTGTTAAAAAGTACATCTTTCACTGCTAAAGTATTCGAGCAACACCAGAGATCGAACAATATTATAACATTTCTCTTCGACTGAACCGCAAAAAGAATTTGTGTCAAGGGTCTAATGTATTGCGGCACAAGTTGACGGAATAGGAACAATTCGCGAAATTTATGCCCGATTCGGCGATAAAATTGATAATTCTATCACCGTTACTAGTGAGCAATTTATATTAACAGCAAAGAAATTCTCACTTTTGATTAAATCGCAATATCGATTTTATGATCAAGAAACGGGGTCGTGACCATTGCTGGCGATTACAACATATTGTACATCGTACAGAGTTCGTCGAGTCATCGGTCAGTTCTACACGTCACCTGTAAATTTCACTGGGCTTCTTCGAAAATCGAATAGATACGAGGAAAATCGCATACATACACACTTTGATATACATCAGTCAGTTAGATGCTAATAAAATGAATGTCGAATGACATAGTTTCCTATTTTGAATTTATTATTTTTTTTTTTCAGTTTAAGTTTCATGCTTCGATGTCCTCTTTTCTATGTACCTCTTATATTTTTCTTTGTTGTAAATTAGTGAAGAAATGTTTTAGAAGAACCACGTGTAATAAATTAAATTTCGAGTACCTGTATTCTATGTATTCTATAGACATTATTATATTTTTAATTCAACGTGTGTCTCATCTTTATAATCTATTATCTTGATAAGATTTGTAATAAATGTTACTATATATGATACAGAATATAATTCTGAGACATTTAGAAATAAACCCTTCGCTTGAATTTAATCCATCCCTTCCATTTTGAGAAGTAATTTAATTCCGTGATTTGATAGTGAGCTGAGAACAAACGACTCATTTAGGTCAATGGAAATTGAAATTAGTGATTGACTTCAGAAGTCATGTTCCCATGATTCTTAGAAGCATCCTGCAATTACCATGAATGGAGCATCAATTCAATGCGATTAATGTTTGCCTTCTCGCTTTTGTTTAAAAGTGCTGAAATAATTGAACTATTAAGTACAGCTGTCATCACGAGCCACTTTTCCTATGGCGATGTAGTAGTTTACGTACTTCCCTTTGACATACTCCTGCCACGTGCCGGTGACATCACTAATTTATTAGAATGGGGAATACAAGATATCGCGTATAGTATGCGCAAATGTAGGTTATCGACTGTTATCAGGAAATGGACAACAATTTTTCAGATGAATCGTTGAAAAATATTTCCCTAGATATCGAGAATATTTTCTAGCATCAGTCCTATACAATGACCTTTTGACATTCTAAAGAATAAGTTGTTTAGATTATTCGAAAAATATTGTACAGCACGAGATTTTACTTTCGATAAACGTTTCAACTATTTATGTAATATTCTATATCTTACACTATGTAGACTGAACTTTATTTAAAATGCTTAAGTAACTGGTATGACAAAGTTTACTTAGAATACCTAACTCAGACCTAACTCAGGCCTAATTCAAAATTAACTGGAATCATCTGTTTCTTTAAAGTTTATTAGTTATATCTATTGTTTCAAAATTTGAGAATATCATTGTCACTCAAAAGACAGTTAATTTCGAAACAAAACAATTACATCAACGAACCGAATATGGTTAAAGTTTCGAAGTTGAAACTTAAGCAATAGCTTCGCATCTGTATTAATAATAAATGTAGTAAGAGTTGTGATAGTCCTTTCCCTTAGAGTTCAAAGAACCCTAATGAAACATCCACCAATCATACGGTTCGAAGCACCGTTATTAACAATTCACATCTCATTAAAATTGTACTGCTTGTTTCGCGAGCATCGGAAACGTTGGATAAATATTTAAAGATTCTAGTTTCACGTTAATATAAAAACGCGGATGCACGTCCCTGAAGACGAGCTTGAACTCTTCTATCGTGTATAAGAGTTTAATGATATCGCTGCCGGTCAATGTCCACTCTAGATGGATCGATTTGCCTTTCTTTTTTCCCTTGGCGTTTAACACGCACCTGTATTATCAAATACTCGCGTATAACCCGCGTTTGCACAAACCACGGTCAGAATATAAAATTTCTTAAGATCGACAAACGTGTCGTTACTATAGATTGTGCATGCTCTACCATTGACATTTGTATCAAAGTGATCGAAGAAGGGTAACTTTTAAGATGAATGAGTGACTTGTCACATTGGCGACATTTTTGAACAATGGAGTTTGCATCGATTAATAATATATATGAATATATAGGTGTTAAATACATCGAACATTGAAATTAAAAAGTTAACAATTACTGCGAATATTGATAGATTTTCTTATAGCATCCATTTACAATGGACAATGTACAGTAAAGTAACTTCTTACAAAGAATTATAAAGTCCAATTTGAATGAAACGTAATGGATAAAAATTGTCAACGGTTATTTATTCGCAACGTTTATTCGATTTAATAGTTACTCAGATAAGCTTGTATTCGTTCAGCATAAATATAACTGTAACGAGTTTCAAAATGATTATCATGAATTTCATTGAAAAGCTGTTAACCATGTTGAAAAATTATTGTGAATATTAGTTTAACTAATTTTATATATAGTTAATTACAAATAAAAAGTATTAAATTATTAATTTCTATTCGTCAGGCTCATTTGAATCCAACATATAACAGAATGAGAAGATCATGAACTCTTGTAATTCTCTAATTACAGCGATGTAATTATATATACAAAACTGTGATTTATCATGTAAAGAATCATATAGAGAAATGTAATTAAAACAAAACTAATTGAAGTGAATCGTGTGGTGGAGTTAATTTCGGTGGGACAGGATGTGTATCATTAATTAATCAAACGATTAGACACCCTTTGCGTTACCAAATGTGGGACGATCAAATAACTTTGTCAGTGGGAAACGCAATGTCGTGTCGGCATGCTACAAGGTACACGATACGTGTCAAGTAAAGCATTTAGTTTGTGTCTGTCGTACTCATTAGATAAACTTATCGAAAATTCAGATCAAACGAAAAAGAAGGTAATCGAACATAGCAATAAAATACAACTACTTTACAATATTTGTAATTCTTATCAAATTTAATGATGATAAATTTAAACTGCCTGTAGGTATAAAAATAAAAACAGTATCCAACAGTAATTTTCAAAGGTTTAAAATTAATACTTCACTTCCCCTTGTAATACTTCAATTTTTAATACGTCTACAACATATAGTTTTTATTTATCATTTAAAATATTATTTAATTAATCAAATTAAACAAAACATAAACTGTCAATTAATTATATTAACATCTGAAAAAGATGTTCGAGCAACACTTACCTGATCGTAGAATCATTCAACACCTCAAAACCGTGAAGCAATGCATGTTCCCATCGACATCCATCGACCGTTCGTTTAACGCATCCTTCAAGGATACATTTCCCGCGCAAAATGATTCATGCACTCCGCAATACGCACTTTCGCCGGATCATTCCCTTTTCTACCTCGAGAACTGTTTCTCTCAAAAATAACAATGACCCACCTCTCGAAGTTTCAGGAAGATAACGAATTAAATTGTCGTAGCAAGAAAATACTGTTAACATCTTGTCGGAACGAGTAACTTTGTCACTTGACACTGAAACGATAGGTTAACAACACTCGTCACTTGGAATTTCCATTGTTGTTTCTCTTTTTGCGATCTTTGACTCTGGACACCACTTAGGCTCTGTCGATTAATATCGTTTCGTCGCGTTGCGGTTTACCCTCTTGGTTGAAAGCCCGGCGTCCGCTTCGGAAATCAACCGTGGTCGAGGGTCGACATTTTCGAGGGTTGTGGAAGAACGCAACACTTCACGTGGCCGCGAACGTCGCGCATGTGAAGGGGTTCACCCGTTCAACCCCCGACACCAACGTCGTGCGTTGGTGTTACGTACTCGCCGCGTCACACAAACCATCCCCTCCACAGGATGCTGAAAGTGCATCTACCTTTCCTCCTTATAGTATCATTCCTCCTTAGAGGAAAAGTAGATGCAAATACGGTTTTTATTTTAGGTCTTGCCACCATGATTTCTATTCCCAACGAAGAACGAAATTCTTTCTCTCGGGGGAAAATAATCAGAGTCCGCACGCTTTTTATATTAAAGTAACAGTAGAGAAAGCCTCGAGTTCTAAAAACAGTCTTACTTTAATCAAATGCATGAACTAGGAGCCCATTACAAGAAAAGGAAAGTATTTCATTGAGGATCTTTTATATGGTAGAAAATTTTCAGAACGTTTATTTTCTTTTCAACTGGAACTCTTATCTTGGACTGCTTTGGAGATGGATATTTTGTAAAAAATTCTGTCATTGTCAGAAAAATACTTACTATTTTTGATATATAGAATTTATAAAACATATTCTATTTATTACTAATAGTTACTCTATTACAATAAAAGAAACTTATGTATTAAAGCG